CTTTGATTTATTGTAATCGTTATCCCTAACATTTCCAAACGTTACAGGTGAAACCCTTTTGGATAGTTTCCACTTTTCATCCACAATTCCCTCAGTTAATCAAAAATTTGACTTTGACCATATTTTTAATATTTTAAAGGGGGCAAAAAAGTAACATTTCCATTTATTACATTAAATAATGAAATTAAAAAAATAAGAAAGAAAAAGAAAACACACACACCGTCATCTTCTTCCTCTCACCACCCTTTACCCACCCCCACCTCAAACCCGAAATCCGCCCAACCACCGCCACCTTCACAATCGGCCACCGTCATCCATCCCATCACAACCAACATCCAACAAACTCCACCAACCAACCCCTAAAATGCAAAAGTTTCCAATTTCTCACCAGCGAAGAGCCCATTTTGGTGAAGGAGCAATTTTAGGCAAAATGTTTGCATTTTATAGATCATTCCTTTCCAACAGGTCGGTCCCATAGAGCAATTTTAGGCAAAATTTTCATAAAATTTTTAAACGTGGCAATAGTGGTGGAATTTCTCCCAACTGGATCTTTCGACTTGAGAGTAAGCATATATCTGAAGAGATCTCTAATTGTAGTCAAATTCGTTTCATTCATACTCTGTAATGTTGGATAATCTGTCCAATAACATCTCTATAACCATTTTTTAATAACAATCATTTATAATCTGATCTAGCTCCGAACAATTGAGAATTTCAATGGCTCTAGTGTAATTATGTTCCTTCACCCCAAAACGTCTCTGGAATTAGAAATGGGCTCTTTACTGGTTTGAAATGGGAAGTGGGCTCTGTAACGCCCCAAAATCTATTTCTTTTTTTATATAAATAAAATAAATTAGAAATGTTACCAAAAATCCTCTTTTCATAATTTAAGCAAAATCTACTTTTATTCAAAATTTGAAATTTGTTCGATAAATCGATTATTATAAAACAACAGCTTAAGTGAAAAGCTTTCACATCAAATAAAATCTTTAAATACTATGATTTCAAACCATCAATTCGAATTTAACATAAAATGTCAAATGAACACAAGAACAACTATTAAATACCGTGCAAAAAATTTAATGTAAACTTGTTCTTCAACAAGATAAATGAAATTTGCAAATTCTCATCTTTAGAAATTTTTACTTAACGACCCCTTAAGCATCACTCGGTCAATCTGTCATACATCCATACGATCCGTTCTAATCTAAAAAGTTATTGTAAAATTGAGTATTTTGAAAAACACTCAGTAAAAAATGCATGCACATTCTTATTAAGTGATATAAATATAAAACTGATATGACATACCGACATTTCTTAAATTTAGAGCTCCAGAAATTTCTTAAAAATTTCCACATCCGATAGGATTTAACATAGAATTCGACTTAAATAGTTTTCGATAAATCTAAAAGTACTCATAAGTACGGTAAATCTTTTATGCAAATAAGTGGGTTCGGCTTATCTCTTAATGTTTGAACTTAGCGTGATGACAAGACTGGACATGGACAATTTCATTTACTAAATGACCAATATTAAGTTTAAACCCCATATGAAAATAGTAAGAAAAATTCGAGGTGTTATAGGCTCTTTACCGGTAGCAAGGGATTGCGGGGTGGAGGGAGTTAGGCAGATTTTGTGTTTGAGGTGGTGGTAGGGGTGGCGAGAGAAAGAAGATGATTGTGTGTGTGTTTTCTTTTTATTTCTTATTTGTTAATTTCATTATTTAATGTAATAAATAGAAAATTACTCTTTTGCTCTTTAAAAATATTTAAAATATGGTCAAAGTCAATTTTTTTGTCAACTGATGATTTGTAGATGGAAACTATCCAAAAAGGTTTCACCTGCAACGTTTGGAAAGATTAGGGGTGATAGTTGCAACAAATCAAAAGTTTGGAGAAAGTTTGCTAATATTTCAAAAGTTTGGAGCTTTTATTGCAATTATCCCTCATATTTATATTAACCATTCAGATTGTAACATATTAAGTCGTACACCCTATGTACCTAATCACAATTAAAAACACTTCTAATCCATAATTACCATTCAGTTGCCACACATTTCAAACGCTTACCTTTCGAAAAAACCACAAGGTTATTTACGTAATATCACTCCAATTCGCAGAACTACTTATACTAACTCAGCTGGCAATTCATCAGACACTAGGGCTGTAAGGAAAAATTGCCAAATCGAAACTACATTTTAGAAATCGTCGGTTTAGTGCCACATGAACCCGATCAACGAAATGGTTTTGATCCAAACAAAATCGGTCAAAATGGTTTGATTTAGATTTGAGAATTTTAATTGTAGTTTAAAATCAAACCGGATCGATGAAAAAATATATTAAAAAAATGATTTTTTTTGAAAATTCATCCAAATATGTAAAATTCAATAGTTTTGTCATTTGTTAGTATTTTTGTTAATTTTTAATACAGATATATTATTTTTATCCAATAATCCTAATTTATATCCAATAATCTCAAAACTAATATGATCTATCAAAAGTCATTTTCCTCTTTAGAATTTAAATGAACTTCAGCCGACATCCAACACAGTCTTGAGTCATCAGCACCACACACTTTTTCAGATTTTTCAAGCCTCTTCACAGTTGAATTGAAATCCATTATACCAAATCGGATGCAAAAAGATCTTAGACCTTCAATTTTGAGCTACGAATAAAGTTTCACATCAATAATTTTTTTGTAGCAAACTAAAGTAAGAATCTGAAATTAAATGTATTTCGTAACATCATACAAACGTAAACTTGTGTAATTATCAATGTTTTGAAAATCGGACCGGACCGACCGGTTCAATCGAAAAAATCGTGAACCGATCTCAAATTCGGACCGATACTAATAAATTAACCGAAAATGAAAAAATCAATAAATAACCGGTCGAATAAGCCATTTTAACCGGAAGCCGAAAATCGATTTTTTTAAAAAAAAATTTAGGGAAAATTACATAATTCTAGGCATCTAAAGATCACTATTCAAAAATCAAGGTTGAAGTTCACTATTCATAAATCATGTATCAATATAATAATTAAATATTAAATATTCCCCCAAATTATTCCAAACCCTAATAAGTTTTTTCCTCTCCATTTCTCTCTTTACCCTTTCTTTTCTCTCAGCCTCTCCATCACAATCGTCGTCGAAAATTCCTCGCCAGTAGGTGTTCACGACGTCGCACTGTAGCGACGACGCTCTAAAGATTGGAATGAGTTCCAACGCGAGAACGACGTTGCTGCAAGAAGACTGACGTCACTGCAAGAGCGCAACAGGGATGTTATTTTTCACCCAAGAATGCCGCTACTGCGCGACTTCTGCCCAAGAACACTATCTACAGTGGCGCTGCTGCACTTCTACACGTCACCAAAACCACACAACCGCCTATCAGGAATTATCCCACACACTTATGTTGCGCGACTTCTGGCAGGAACACCCAGCTGGGGGATCACAGATAATATTATCACCTTAGGGTAGTTTTGGTGATGTTGTGGGG